CAAATCACTACGGATTAATCCACCTTCCTCCGGTTACCATCTTTATCGTTAATTTTTCACGTGCACGCTAATCTTCAATTTTCCAGGCGTCCGGAGTCTGGTGTAATGATCTAGAAAAACGACCTCCACGGTCTCAGGTACACGTAATGGGCATGGGATGTTAGTTACGTATTCCCATTACAGAGATGCCCGCGTGCATGCCGCGGCCATAATGCGCACAGTGGATTTCTCATTATCGATGCTCGTGATTTATGCTCTGTTATCGTAAGGGACATTGTACACGTAGAGTAAGACCTAATTCGGATTACGCTAAGAGATTACCGTGTAGGTAAAGCATCGGTTTCTGTTGGTACTTTTCTATTGGTCGTTGAACGCCTTGTGCATCCTTAGCGTTCACATCGGCACGATCGGTCGAGCATGTCGAGATTGGAAATTTCCAATCTCAAGTGGGCTAAGTCATACATTTATTACAATTAACGCATTTGAAAGTACAGAAAAAATAATATCATCCGCCTATACTGTTATAGCAAAAGAAATAAATTTTTTGGTCTTCACTTCGTTTCTTGAAAATCTAGCGTGTTTGTGAATGAATGTTATTATAAAAATTTATGTTAGAAACAAATATTATTACAGATTTTAGATAAAATATTAATTGCAAGTCTTTTGTTTGATTAAAAAAAAAAAAAAGAAAATGTTATATGTAAATTGGTCTTTACAGAAATTTGTAGTCACTACAGTGCGTGTTGCGGTCAATATCGTACTCGAAATTGGAATTGGATTGGATTATATTGGAATCGTTTTGAACTGACAAAGTTACTTTCGTTGAACATCAATATTTCTAAATGAGGTTTCCGTACTTGAAATAATGGACATTCCTGCCATTTGTGTTCGACACAATGTATTTTCCAGCAAGCGAACTGCAACCGTATAACGTTGGAAAAAAAAAACATTATCGCTCGAAAATATCGCTGCGTGATCAAAGTTATTTCACGAGATCAAAGCAACCCCATTTTCCGCGGTACGTGCACAAGTTCCACTGTGGCTCGCTGAACGTTTTTGTTCCCGTCTTTAGCGAAGTTGCGAATTTTTCTCGCCATTATCCGATAAATTCCTCGGTGTGTCGAAACTGTTTGATGTTTATCTACGATGGCGGCCGCGTTTACAGGATGTATGTGTTGTATATTCACGCGCGATCCTATTACGAGATCTCGCGACGAGAATCATCCTGTTGTAAAGCATTATTAAACGCTTCTCGGATCTATGTGCGCATATACCGTCGTTTCTATTACAATTATGCAAAATCGTTGCTTTCATCTATTTAGAGTGGAATTTTCTTGCAAGACGATGTCCTTATTTAATGTTTAATGAATTTGAAGTTTTTACCTTTGAAATATTTTATAAACATTTACTCGTTATTATACATTAATCTCTCATCACTATTTAATAAATATAAGATCGATGAATTGGCAAGACATCTTATACAAATGAATAGATAGATTTTGTTCCTTTAATGGAACAAAACGTTTCTCTTATTTATCAAAATTCTTCGCTGAAGCAGTTCTTATTTTTATTATTTCAGTTTATCTTATATCTCTATCTTTTTTTCTTTCCGATTTTTATCGCTTATAAATCATTGTTGTAGTCGCTTTCACTCAGGAATCGCTCATTCAAGCGTACTTATCGACCAAGATTTTCTGAAGTACGCTTGTAGCGCACTTTCACGTCGCGCTTCGTCTATTTTTCATTATTTCCCGACGCGCTTCGTTTACCTTCGACAAGAAAAGCGCCTCCGCGTCTCTCCTTCATCCTGAACATCTGTGATGGAGAGTCACGGTGCTCAATTTCGGTCAGAGCTTTTCTAGTTTAACCGAGAATCAGATCGTCATATTTATCTTTAATTTAAAAAATGTTTCGACTTCTAGAATTTCGTTTTAATTTATTTTCATTGACAGAGACTCTAACTCTTTATATTTATATTATGTATTTTGCGGACCCAGAAAAAAAAAAGTCTACTTTGATTACTAAAATATACATTTTTTCCTGAATATTTTCTAAGTAATTGTTAAACAGGTTTGTCTATTTATAATATCGTAGAACTGGTAGCAATAATGAAGTGTGATAAATTCACAAACGGCTTTGCTTTTTAACCTGTATATTTTTTTGGTACCATAAATTTATTATACGCTGTATACCTATGTCTGATTATTATCAGCCAGCCGATCAAATAAAAATGAGGCAACAATTATAACGACTGCTTGTTTCTAGCGTGATAACAATGTCGCGTTGCGGTTTAATGGTTCGACACATTTCACAATAATGCCAATCTATGGCGGTGTTAATCGCGGATGGTCACTTTATCGAGCGACCGATCGCGCGACGGGACATCAAAATCAGTTTGTAACAATCGCTAATAGCACATCCTCGATCGGGACGCGCGATAGCTCGCCATCGCATCGCAATCCTCTTATCTCTGATCAAGAAACACAATTTATCGTACACTAGGAAACGCCGTGACCCTAATCTAAAAATAAACCATGCCGAGAGGGAGCTCCATTTCATTTATACAAGTGCACTTATCATTGAGGCAACACGAAAAAAAAGCAATATATATTTTTCCGACATTATTATTTCTTATAGCACGTCTGTTTGATATATCAGGAATAAAATTGAGAAAAGAACTTATGATTACATTATTCATATTCGCAATAGCTGAATAGAAAACGTTTATTGAACATAATATTTAATAAAACGAAAATATATGGCATATATTCTCTATATTAGGTAGAGTTTTAATATATTTCCAGATCGATGATATTTCAGCGAAGAAACAAGATTTAATCTACTTCGGAGCTGACGGAAAAATGCTTGCATTCGAGTTAAAGGTGGAATTTTCGGAATTTCGCACGTAATATACTTCATTTGCGTTCGCTTGAATGAGAAGTGTAATAATAAAGCGCTTAGTAGCGAACTTTTTTCAGACGTGTGTAATAAACGTGCTATTTGTGTGAGAGGGAGGAAAAGAGGTGCTTTCAGACTTTTCTTTGACTCTCGTACGTAATAATAGAGAGCGATCGTTCGAAATACACTCTTTCCTGATTTATCTAATAATAGAGAGCCAGGTTCCGAACTTCTTTCTCCGCAAGTGCAGTAATAACAGGCAAAGCGAAAGCCTAAAACTTCCTCTCGATACGTGCTACGGTAGAGAGGCGCATTTAATATGTGTAATAATGGGGAAACGTAATGCCAAACTTTCCTGACGCGTCTGGACGATGGAAGAGTCTTTTCGAGAAAGAATCGAGCCACCCTGCATCGCCACCAGACGTTTCGGATAAGAGAAAGTGGGTGGAAAGAGATCCAACTCGAGTAGCGTGCTGCGAGGGATTGATGACTTGTGACCCACTTTTCGAGCGGTGACCCAGATGTGAGGATGCCTTGGTGTAAGACATTGGAGTTCTCCTACCTACCTCTCTTTCTAGCTTCGTGCTTCTCTTCCGCACTCTCTCCGCTCTCGACTGCCTCGCGGCTGACAGTAGTCGGTTAGTTCGCTCTCTGACACCGAGAATGTATAACCGATTTCGTTCCACGGGGTTGAGAACGACCCAAGTTACGAGATTTTCGAGGAAACCGATAGCCGATTGTTTCGAAAGTGACATATGTCAAATTCCGAACGCGCCTAATTTACTTCACTTTTATTTCAAATATATTCGAATATATTTGACTTGAATCTCGTTCAGAGGAAACAATTTTATTTGCGCATTTTTTAACTTGGATAAGTCACTACTTTAGATAATTATTTATATTAAAAAAAAAAAGTGACATATATATAACGATACGTTGTTAAGTTATTTATACGCTGTTGCACGACAAAACAGTGAGTTGCGTAATTTTCCTGAGAACTGAAGTTACGTCATGCTATTAGTCCGACCTGTTTGACGTGAACTATTTAAAACTGGCGTAAAATGAAAAACGTCCTTCGATAGCTGATGTTTTGCATGCGAAGAGTTATTACCGCGGATATTTTAAGCGGAGTGCATTTTAAACGAGCGACTTATCGCTCGATGAATCATCGACATGATCGTTAGTCCATTTTTCTCTTATGATTCATCGTACAAGTGAAGGTGATATCGGCGGAACGCATGATGTACATTATTGTATCATATAAAAATAGCCTTGATATTGAAGAATTTATATAATTGCCCGCAGGTCTATGGAATGTTACACTCGGACTAATCGCTTCTCTTTTGATATTTCTACGAGATTACATCATTTTCCTTGCCTCTTTCTAAATTTACATTTTTTATCCCAATAGCTCGCGATAAAAAAGCTGGCAATTTTTTTAATTTAAAAAGAAAATTCATCAACATTTTTTTTTTACTTTATACATCCCATGGGAATTTGATTAGACTTTATCCGCTCGAAAATAAGATCAGAAAGCCATAAAATTCTTCTTTCCCTCTTTGTAATCTACCGTTTTAAATTCACTCATATTTCACGCTGCAGCAAGCACAAGAGAAGAGGGGAAGAGAAAGAGAAAGAGAGAGAGAGAGGGGGGGGCGGGGGGGAGACGGAGAAAGCAGGTTTTATCTAGGATTTGTTTATGAAATTTATGCTAAGTCAGGGTATATGAAACCCGGATAAGCATCGGGCAGACAGGTAGGCAGGTAAATTCGTCTTTGTCAGTCAGCATTGCGACGGGTAGACGACGATGCTCTCCGATTTGTCTCGTTCCCGCTCACCCTCCCTCGCTTTCCTAGCTTTCTCCTAAGATCCTCTCGCCGAATTGTGACAGCGTCGTCGTTTGCCGGAAGGATACGACACCGTTGTATATACCCGCTGTGCGCGGCGTCATATCGAAAGGAGGTAAGGGAGTGGGGGAAAGTGGTGGGGTGGAAGTGCCATCGGCGGCAAGGGTGGGAGTCCGATGCTCGTGGTGGTGGTGGTGGCGGTGGTGGTGGCATCGAGAACGGGTAGGGAGACCTCCACGTCGCAGAGGACCGAGAACGGTGTAACGTTGCTCCGGCCAGCACCACCAGCTTCAGTGTCGTTTCGGCCGCGGTCTCGTTCGGTCGTTCTCGGTGAAGGATCATAAGTTTATGCTCCTTCAACACACACATCACCGCGACCGTCTCTCTCTCTCTCTCTCTCTCTCTCTCTCTCTCTCTGTCTCTTTTCCTCTCTTCCCGGCCTACTTTCGATCTACGGAATACGTTGCGGTCTCGTGCCGAAACTTGATTGCTCCAGCCGTCGTCGTCGAAGCTTATTATGAATATGGGCTAGTCTGTGACTATCCTTATCCGCCTAAGGATCAGGATCAATCAGCAGGAGTAATGTGTAACGACAAGTAGGAAGAGAATTCGAACGGAGCTTGATAGTGATTCGATAGTGCTCGAGTGCAGGGTGTCTCGTATTTATTCCGTATCATTGAAGATTATCGCGACCGTGCGCCTGATAGCATCGGTGGCGCGGTCCGCGGATATTGTAAGATGAGCCCGGCCTCCCAGGGCGCCCTGGAAGTGGAGCGTTACATCGGCAGTTGTCTAATCTCGTCCAACGTGCGCGCCGGACTGCATGGCAAGCCCGTGACCGTTTGCCGGAAGCAGGAACAACCAGCGACGGTACGCGGCGGCAAGGCGCGCGGCTGCTACAATGGAGGGCAGAGTTACCCCGGGTTGGCCGATCAGCAGCAGCAGCAGCAGCAGCAGCAGCAGCAATGTCAGGTGCAATACGGCGGTCCGGGCGGCTGGACGGGTGCGCCGCTGATATCAATGACATCGAGTCCGCGCAGGTGTAATCAACGCTCGTCACCGTCGCTCGGTCAACAGCAGCAGCAGCAGCAGCAGCAGCAGCAGCAACAGCAGCAACAACAGCAGCAGACGTGCACTGATCAGCAGCAAGTGCCACCGGGCGGTCATCTACATAAAAGTCCCCTGTCAAGGTTGGCGATTCATACGCAGGGCGCACCCCTGATTCTGGCCGGACGATTTTACAATCGTGGCAAAGTGCACAGCAATAACGGCGGTAATTGTAATGGTATCGGTAATACGCCAGCCTGCGGCAACATCGCCGGCAATTACGTTCACAATAACGCGAACCCGTCCATGACGAGCAACGTGAACGGCGCGACGAGGTGTCCGGCGTCCTCGCGAATCACACCTCAACGATCGATGATGGAGGCTACCAGCAAGAAATCACCGACGACGACGGTCGTGTCTTCGAATTCCAAGACAGCGGCGACGAACGCCGACTGTTCTTCCGCAGCGGCGAAAGAAAACACCGGCTCCTCGAATATCGCGAACATCGATTCGCTGAGTATCGCGAGCGACGAGAGCTCCGGCTCGAACAATTCGGAGAACAGTTTGCCTCGCATCATCAAGCCTCGCAAGCGCAGAAAGAAGGATCGCAAACCGCCGAACAACGTCGTCGCGAGCGGCGTCGACGCGGCTAAACCTCAGGAGGAGTCGCAGGCTGCGCAGCAGCAGCGGCAGCAGCCTGCTGCCGGTTGCGGTGTCGTACCTGGGGAACAATCCAGCATAATCGGTACGGTAAAATCGTACGCGCCGACCTGTTACGAGCCGAGAATCTACGAAGCGGTCACGCCGCATCTCAGGAACTACCACAGGAGGCCACCGGCCAGCCATCGTGAGAATATCTACGGCGGCTGTAGAGCGCCGTCGATGCAGACGGAGATGGCGGACATCAGGCAGCAACGGTACGCGCACCACCGGCATCACGTGCAAGCGAAAGTGCTGGACGACAACCGTAACGTGATCGCGGCGCCGATTCGTGCCACGGCGCCGCCCAAGGGCTACCGGCATCATCATCACGCCAACGATTGCGTTGGCGGCAACCTGCCGTCGCGGCGTTACGTTCACGAATACGCCGCGGGAGAGTCCTGCGAGCAGACGGTTGCCGGCAGAGGGGACGGCTTGGGTCCGTGTCAATGTCGATACTGCGATCCGGCCGGTCTGATTTGGGACGTCGACCGGAACGGATACTCGCCGTTCCTGACGACGACGACGTTGCCACCGCCACCGCCGTCGTCCTCCACCGGCGTCGAGTACCGTCGCGGTAGTCACTTCGGCCAGATACCGCTGTTTTTGGCCACGTCGCCGCCGTGTGCGGCGAATCTTCAGGAACGCGCGCTCGACAGATTGTTCGACGAGCACTCTCGACTGCACGACGACAATAGGGGGGACAACACGGGGCCGCCCGGTGGCGTAGTGTTGAGGCGTAGCTGGAGCGATCCGACGAGTTACTTCAGTTACGGCGAGGAGATCACCGCGCCGACGAGGGACGTCGGTGTCATCGGCGATCGAGGGGGAGGTCAGTCCGAAAGTGGGAAGCACAAACGAGCTCTTTGGCGCGGCGACAGTATCGGCAGCGCGCCAGCGAGCTCGGCAGCGAACGCGAACGCGGTGGGCCCGAATGCCGGTGGCGGCGGTGCCGGTGGTGGTGGTGGGTCCGTCGCGTCTCCGAAGGGTCTGGAGGTATCTACGGAAATCATCACGTCGCCGAACGGTCATCGGGATCTGGAGATCAAGTTCTACTCGTCGCCATCGCCGCCCGCGGAACGTCTCGCCGAGGAAGACAAGTCGTCGTCGAGTTTCACCGGGGAGGCCGACGACGACGACAACGGAGATGACGACTTCAGCGATATATGGAGTTACCACGAGTCGAAGCTGCAGCAGGATTTCCGTACGTTGCTGCAGGCGGAGGAGTGATCCTGCGGGTTCGTCGTTATCTAATCGAAGATATTCCCGAGCGCGCAACCAGCGCCTTACGGTCGCGCGGACTCGCCACCGGTGCGCCCCGGTGAGCGCGAAGTGAGAGAGCAAAACGGCGAACGCCAACGGCGGTTGGAATCTCACCGGTGGAGAAAAGGAAGAGGGAGAGTGCGAGTGGGTGTGGGTCGGCGACGAGGGTATTTGGCCCCATTCCGAAACGAAGTGAGACACGGGAGAGAGTAATACGGACGATGGTTAACCTGCTGGTGGTCTCGTCGGCCGTCATGCGCAAACGAGATTCGATTGACGTTCGCCCCGGCGTCTTACGGCGGTCGCACTTACGTGCTGATCCGGGATCTCCTCGGCAACAAGACGCCTCCTCGGCGAGTCAAAGGCGACAACGAGGAGGGGCTTCTCACACCGCGCACGAACGGTGTTCGTCGTATACGTGACCGTGCACGCAATGCCGCCCGCACGCGACTCACCGCGTCGGTCGCCGATGTCGCATCGACACCATCCATCCGTCTGACGTTCCACGTCCAGCGAAGTGAAATGGCTTCAGCAACCGAGAAACGGTGTCGATCAGCCTTGTCGCGAGCGTGTTAGTCTTACGGGATCGCAAGAGCGTGCACTTTTGCGTGTGTGTGTGTGTGTGTGTGCGTGCGTGTGCGTGTGTACACCGGAGCGTGCTGAGACGTGCTAATGTACACGTGACCGTGCTGTCGGGTCTCTTTTAGCACATGAATTTTCCTTGTAGTAGGTTGTGACACGATGATCGGTTGTTTCGGAATAATCGGTACTTTCTTCGGTATTTTTACAAATGTTTTTCTTCTCTCTGGCACGCGCGAGAGTGCTACTCGCTAGGAGAGCTCCGGAAGGTGACGGAACGTTAATTGAACTGAAATGCTGTTGAGAAAAATCACCAGAGAATAATAACACGCTTCGTATATTTTTCAAACACGGTCCGTAGTTTTCAAAATCAATTCGTAGATACGTGCAATCGATCCATTCGATGTTTCTATTTGCACCGACGAATTGCAGGGCACTAGTCGATTAATTCTTCTGTTGATTTAAAAAAAATCTATCGATAGAAAATATTTAGATGATTCTTATTGTTTTAATAAAGTCAATTACGGCACGTTAACATATTTCTCTCTTATTTTTGCTTCTTCAACGATATTCGTGGTACGACCTACGGCGAGAGATTATATGTAAAAGAGAAGCCTGTGAGCCAAGAAACAACAGTGAAAGTATGGGAATAAGGCGGAACAAAATAAGGGACAAGGAATGAAATGTATAACGTTTCTGATATTTTATGTATTACCAATCGGAATATCGGAATGCCTTTACTGTGCCCTTCTGTAGACGTGGGACCACTCATCTTTCTTATGCTTCGACCATATCTGTTTTCCGATCGATTGCCCCTACACAATGATTATCTTATCACGAATTCATTCTATCTCGTTCCGCGATCCCACGCCCAATTCTTATACTCCATTGTGTGTCTTGGCTTCGATGTAGAAGACCCCGAGATCGATGCGTGGAATACTAAACTACCGTTTCACGCGTAATTAGACAGCGGCTATTTTTCCTCGATGCCCATCGATTTGCAAAATGACGATCCATGCGTACTTTGACGTTCTCCTCTCTACATTCTTTCGCCGTTTTGCCGCTTACTGATGAGCGACAGTTTAAAAATGCTAAAATCGTCAATCGAATTTCTTCTTCAACGCGAACCAAACTGATTTCGAGCCGTGAGACACTTGGACATTCTTGGTTACGCATCGCGCCATTCATGAAACGCGGACGTCGGAAACGGCGAGACGACGTCGCAAACGGCGAGACGACGTCGCGTGCAGTCGTTACAT